GTGGACTACAATGGGGAGAGGTTGGAGACAAGAAGGCCAATAAGAGGTTATTAGAATTCAGGCAAAAGACAGTACATACGTGGGTTACTTGAGAAGGCATTTGGGGAAAAGTTGAGTTCAATATCGAAACTATGTTTTAAGAGGTGGCAGGGCATTCATTTGTGGATTCATTTTTTTCCCCTGCACTCAAATCTTTATTAACTTTGCTAGGTACTGAGGATAAGAAGATAAATAGAAGACTTCCATGACCTCCTTCAGCTCATTTGCAATGATTCTCACTTTTTTTTTTCTGCTCCAACACTCTTAAGAGACATGACACACAGTTTGGGGAGTAGGTTGGCAGGGGATGAGAAGGGGAAGAAAAGGAGTAAGGGTATGGTGGAGGGACTATGTCCTTAATGGAGAAATAGCAGAATGTGGGGTGGTATGATGTGCAGATATCCCCCTGCCCCAGGGGGATGGAACACCTGAGACTGTTTCATTTAGGAGAATTTTAGCTTTCAGAAATAGAATACCCTACTCCAAATGGCTTAAACAATAATGGCACTTATTATGATATGTAACAAGAAAGTAATGGATGGCCATCTCAGTTGCTTAGTAATGTTATTGGGAACCTAGATTCCTTATGCCTTGTCTAATCTGCCATCGTTAGCATGCTCTTCTCAGACTATTTCCTCTCATGGTTACAAGACGGCTGCTGCAGTTCCAGGCATCACAGGCAGAGGTGACTATGTCTAGAAGAAAGGGGCCTCTTTCTTCCTTGTGTATCTTTTTGTTTCCTTATGAACAAAGGATCATATCCCGGAACCCCCAGCAGACTTCTTACGTCTCAGTGGCCAGAACTGAGTTAGGGGCCCATGCTTGAACCTATCGCTGGCAAAGGAAAGCGGGAGGTAGGAAACATTGGAAACAAAATTATGGCTGTTATCAGAGAAGAAAGTGAACGGGGCTCTTGAGTAGGCAAACAGTCCTTCTGCTGAAATTTGCTGGTTGTAGGAAAGAATTTCTTTGCATTTGTAAACAGAGCCTTTGTTATAGATAAGCAGTTTGGGATCAGAGAGATAGATCTGAAAGATACTAGAAAAGAGATAGAATTTTTTTTTGTTTTATTTTTTGTTTTTTAAAAACTAACCTGACATATGTTTTGTGTTTCATGCATCTTAATTCATAGAACCTCACAAGGACACTAACAGACAGGCCATTTTCACTGAGGAAACTGAAGGTCAGAGAAGTTGAGGAACTGAGGACGGTCACACAGCTAGTAGGTGGCAAAGCTGGAAATGGATATGCTCACTTCGTCTAATTATGGAGAATTTTGAACATACACAGAAGTAGACAGAATGGCATAATAAGTGTCCTGTGTACCTGCACTTAGTTCCAACCCACAACAACCCCCCCCCCCTTGCTAATCTTTCAGTCACCCTATCTTCCCCTTTCCTCTGTTATTATTTTGGAGTAAATTCCCCACCATTGTATCATTTCATCACCAAGTATTTTAGCATGAATCTCTACAAGATAAGGTCTGTTTTCTTTTAAAGGTAATGACAACCATTATACCCAAAATATTTAACAGCAGTTATTTAATATTATTAAATTTTTAGGTAGTGTTTAATATTCAGATTATCTCATAAATTTTATTTTTTATAGTTTATTTGAATTAAGATCCAAATAAGGTCCACACATTGCAGTTGATGAATAATGTTTTAATTCTCAATCTGTAAATTCTTCTTCCATGTCTTCCTGTCTCTCTCTCTCTCCTTCTCCCTCTTTCTTTTTTATAATTAATCTTTGACAGAAATCAAGTTATTTGACCTATAGAATTTCTCACAGTCTGGATTTTGCTGGTTGTATCCCCATGATGTAGTTTGGCATGTTCTTCTGTCCTCCGTATTTCCTATACATGAGAGTTGAAGTGACAGGTTTGGTCAGATTCAGGTTGATTTTTTTTTTTTTTGCAAGGATACTTTGTAAGTGATGTCATGTTCTTCCATTATGAGGTTTACATTTTAGTGTGCTGTGCGTGAATAACATTTTTCCCTTGAAATCTGCAAGTCAGATTGAGGGACTGAGAGAATACAAATGATGATGTTTTAGTCTGCCTAAAGTATGCTGAAATAATAGAAGGCATTGCACCAAGAGCAGGAGAGTTTGAAACCAGTGAGTGTCTCTGTGTAATCCACATAATTTATTTTGCAGTCGCAAAATTAGAAAGCACTCTAGCAGGCATTGTGAGCCTCATGAAGGAAACAGAAAACTCATAAACTAAGGAGGGGATGGGGCCAATGAAATATACCTTAAGACAACATTGGCAGAAACCTAAATTAATATAAACACATTCTGCTTCTATTGTACGTCATGGCTGGAGAAGAACTTTCAGAAAGATAAGAACGAAAGAACTGAGGGAGGTTAGCAGACTTCTTGTAGAAATTGAGGTGGGTGTGGAAGCTCCCCAGACAGGAGAACCCAGAGCCTGTGTGAAGGAAGAGAAGGAACATCTGGGATAGTCTGGCATTGGAATACTCCTGAGGGTAACATCAGAGAGGGAAGAAGCACCCACTCCATCCATAGATCAAAAGACATTTCTGAGTTATAGTTCTAAAAATTGTACTTCTGTGGAAGAGGAAAGAGGGTGTTTTTATCCCCCAGAACTGCCTAATGTTGAAATTCTTGATTTGATTTCTCCATTATATTTACTGCCAATTCTTGTTATTCATGGTAGTTTTGTTCTATAAAGTCACAAGAACACCAAAATAGCAAACACTGAGCCATTGTTAGGTTTCTGCCAACCTCTAGTCACAATTTTGTCAACTGATCAATACATACCCTGCTTTATGTGTGTTTCTGTTTAAAGACATTGAATATATATTGTTGATTCATTAACACTGAATGATGGTCAACAGCAATATAACTCATGCCCAAGCAAAGCTTATCTGACATACTTCTGTTCTCTGTAAGGCACCTCGCTGCTTTCCTGAACCTAGGAACTCTAGACAGAACCTCAGCCCTGCACCTGAAGGCCATTGTAAAGAGCACGATCACTAACAAAAAGCATAAAAGTGCAAAAACAAAATGTGGAACCAAATAGACTGCAAAAAGCACATTTGTTGACAACATGAGAGCTGAAACGAGGTAGAATGTTGTCTTGTTCAAACCTCAGCTGGGCACATGTGCATGGGCCAAGTTAAATTTTTTGCTGTTCTGCCCATGTCTGTGAATAACTTCAAGAGTACCTGCTAGGAGATTATAAATAAATTTCAGTGAGCTGGTGGATTTGTGAATGTGGAATCCACAAATGAGACTCAACTATAATTTGAAAACCAGTGTTGAAAGATAAACTCGGGCTGGGGGTGGGGTGAAGAATTGCAACAGGTTTTCTGGGCTTCTCCAGCACATTCAGGTTGTATCACTCAGCTAGGCATGCAAATCCTATTGATAAAGGCCTTTTTGTTTCACGGGGAAGAAGAGGAAGACAGGAGGCATGGCACTCAGAGAAGTAAGAGGAAACTGAAGGAGTTGTGTGAGGCCTTAGGAATCCAGGAAGTGGGGGCATAAGCGTAGTGGGGGAAATCTCTGGAATCAGGAAAACTGAATACAAAGAGCTTGGACAGAGGAGAGGAGAGGGAGCAGGAAGAAGGAGACCGCCATGAATGCTAGAACCACACTATGATTTGGGTCAGTGTAGCAAAAGCTCAGTAAGTCAGATTGGGTTTTTTGGCATATGGCTGTTGTACTTATCCTTTGCTTGGAGATCTGTGACTAAATGTTTTATTTTTCAACCAATTGTGGTACCCTCTATGGACTGCTGGAGAGGGGAGGACAGCTAGGGGTTCTGGTTCCGCCTTTTCTGGTCACATTAGAGATGCCTTGGGTGGAAGCCTCATGCCACAGAGTTACTTGCAGATGATTTAAAGAAGGATGCAGAACTGTTTTTCACTCGCAAAGAGAAAATTAATGCTAGAGATTTGATCCTTTAAGAGGTCTTTGAACTTGTAAACCCAGACACATATGTGTCAAGAATGGAAACTGGCAAAGACTGTATTCTGTAGTTTGAACTTAATTGCTTTTGGTATGTACTTGAAAAGATAGAATATCCCAAGACATTTAACTTTAGAAAGTCATTCTGTTGTGCTGCACAGTAAGTAATTTTCACAAGGATTTGGCGGAGATATTCAGTATCAATATGCAGGAATGGTTTCAATATGTGGTAGGCCAATAAAAACAAAGTCACTCTGACCCACACTTTGCAGATCTAAGAGGGACAGAGGAGCAAGTAGTGATAATTAGTTCCAGTTTCAGGGAAATATGGTAACTCTGCAGCCACATGCCTCTGTCCTGCCCACTGCGCCGTGTGTCTCTCAGGGAGGGGGACTTAATGTCCCAATCTGTGCTTCTCAGGTGGGCACTGCGCATGACGTACATGGTTATGCAGTGAGGCCTGAAAGTGGGTCCTGTGGAGATAGGGAGTGTTGGTTTGATCTGAAATCATGGGACCCACAGAATTGGCCACTGGGTTTGGAAAACCCATGGTAGGAGCAAGCTTCAGTGAGAGGAATTAGACCGTTCCATACCCCCTTGCTTTGCTGCTGGCTAGCACAGGCAGGAATGCTGCCCAGAGCCTTTGACCCACTTCCCTGCTTCTAGGACAGTCAGATCCAACCAGTGGGGGTTTTGCTTGCTCTTCACTCTGGCCTTAATTCATCAGCGTTCCCTTTCTCTTCTCGGCCTGGGGGTGGAGGGGTGGTGGAAAAGAGGGTCTTTCCTTTCTGGTGTTCAAAAATGGATTGAAGCATATGTGTAGGGCAGGGAAGGGAGGAAGGAAGGGTGGGAACTCTGGAATCATAGCCATCATGCTCAAATGGTACTCAAAAAGTTTTTGCTGTTCTGTCAGTATCTGCAAATGACTTCGTGAATGCCTGTTTAGGGATTACAAATATATTTTAGTGAGTTGGTAGATTTGTAAATATGGAATCCACAGTCTCCAAAATGGAGATTTTTTTTTTTTTTTTTTTTTTTTTGTTAAAGGTAATTGGTTATTTAATTAGATTATTAGGACATTTAAAATACCAATTTGTGAGGATAAATTCCATTTGTTAGGGCAAACACAGATCGCAGGTAGCCCTGGAGCTGAGGAATAGCTTTGATTTTTGGTAAAATTTGCGAGTCCACAGCTTTCTGATCAATCTTGCGCTGCTCTGTAATCTCGTATTTCTCTTTTTCTGTGTCGAAGATCTCACCTTCCTGGTGTCTGGGCTTTCGCAGCTTCTTCTTCTTGAAGTAAGCATCAGTAAGATGTTTTGGAATTTTTACATTGCTGATATCAATTTTGGTTGAGGTGGCAATGACAAATTTCTGGTGTGTTCTTCGCAGAGGAACTCGATTGAGGACCAGAGGTCCAGTCACAAGTAATAAGCCACTAGCCAGCTGCTTCAGGAAAACCACCCTCTTGCCCCTGTGGCGTCCAGTGAGGATGATCAGAATGGTCCCGGGGGTAATGCTGGCTCGAAGTTTTCTCACGTGCTGACTAAAGGGTTTTTTGCCGTGGCTCAACAGCTTTCGAGGCACATCTTCAGTAGGATAATACCTAGGCATTTTGCGAAGTTTAACCACCCGGGTACCGCCGTTTTTGTCACCACCAACTGGTTTTGTAACAGTTGCAAGAACCTTCTCCTTTTTTTTTTTTTCAACCTTGGATTTAGCGGCTGAGTACTTCCTCTTGTACATGGCCTTTCTGGAGTACATGGCAGATCGGGAATACCTGCCGATTCCTCTGACAAGGACAGGATTGCGGCTGCAATGGGGCTTCCCCTTCTTGGGCTTTTTAGCCTTGAGGTGACCCTTTTTCACTTTGCTACCAGCATCAGCCTTCTTGGCTTCAGGTTTCTTCTCTTTAGTATCCGGCTTCTCAACTTTTTCACCCGCCATCTTGCAAGATGGGAAAAAAAAATGGAGATTTTTTATTTTTGTAATTGACATGATCTTGCTCTGGGGTTGCTGTTGATACAGAGTGACTCAACAGAAGTTAAACTTGTCTATTTGAATAAATTGGTCTATTCTGGTTTGTAGCATTATTTTTCAGGCAAGCTGAGATTCTGTAGGCTTAAGCCTTTTCTTCTTCTCTCAACTCCTCCTCTCCTTCTCCCTAGGTGACATCTAGGCACAGGGAAAAGCTTAAGTAACATTGTCATGGTAGGGGCAGTATGTTTGCCTCCTTCCTTTCTTTATATATATATCTTGAGACAGTCTTGCTCTGTCACCCAGGCTGGAATGCAGTGGCACAATCTCAGCTCGCTGTAACCTCCGTCTCCCCAGTTCAAAGGATTCTCCTGCTTCATCCATCAGAGAAGCTGGGATTACAGGCGCCTGCCACCACGCCCAACTACTATTTGTATTTTAAGTAGAGACGTTACGGTTTCACCATGTTGGCTAAGTTGCTCTTGAACTCCTGGCTTCAAGTGATCCACCTGCCTTGGTCTCCCAAAGAGCTGGGATTATAGGCGTGAGCCACTGCACCATGTGGGTTATTTTCTGCTTGCATTGTCCTTTTCTTCTGGCTTCTGTTGACTTCTTTTTGAGGCGCAGCTGATTTTGCCTCCTATTTAGGAGTTAGCTTCAGCTACCAAGCTGTCTTTGGTTAAGGTGTCTCGTAATTGTCAGCTGCGTGTGGCTACCTCTAAGTTTAGCATCCTCTGCTTTGCCTCTTGCTGCTGTAGACCCTCTGGGGCTTAGCCAGGAACTTCCACTGGAACCTGGCTTTATGTGGCCTACTTCCCAGCTTCTGCTATAGGATTCTTTTGCCACACACCAGGCAACTTCTTAGCAACACTCTCTTAATTCTCAGCTCCCTTCTTCCATGTCCACCACAGGGCTATTCAGGAGCTTCTAGATGTCCCCATGCCAGGGGTATCTCTGGAAACAAGAGAAGGTTACTTTTTGGCCCATCTGCTCGGGCATTTCTCTCTGCAAAGGATGTTCGAGGGCTCCTGAACTCCAGGGGCCACACATGTGTGCATGTGGAGCACAGGAGAGTGGAACACATTAAAGCACCAGCCTACATAGTTTTGGATTCTCCCTCAACCTGTCTGGAATTTTTGTCTTCTTACCCTCCTCCTTCCACGGCCATCCTCTGGTAGGTGAGGAGATAGATGAGCAGAAAGTATTGCTCCTTCTTCTGTTCAACAGGACTTGTCCCCTCATCCCATCTTCTGTCCTCTCCACACAGTAACTCATAGTAAAACTCTGTGCTTAGTTCCCTGGGCTTTGCATTTAATATGTGCAAAGATAATTTTTGAATAGAAATAACATTTTTCTTTTTCAATAAAACTCACTTCTAAGACAGTAGTTTCTCTCTGACTTGAGAAATCTAATATAAAACACAAGGTAAAAAAAATAAAAATTCTTGGTTCAAGTTCGTGCTGCTTTTTTCCCTGAACAACAAAGGCCATTGATTCAGTGGGTGGAGAGCTGCAGGGCAACATGATTTATGGGTAATGAAAAATATATTCGTGTAATAGTTTCAAAGATATGGTAGAAAGAATTGGGAACTTCTGGATTAGAGGAAATGGATCAAATAAGGTTGCTTACATGCGGGGGTGGCTGAGTCAAAGGAAAATGTAGCTGGATCACCACAGCTGGATATCCTCGGTTTATGTGGTTACCTTTCTCAGCCTCATGAACAGGGTCAGAAGACGTGAGTCACAAAACTAACTGCAGCAGGAAACACAAACATGGCCTCATCTCATGGCTGCACAGAGGGCCAACAGAGGCTCCTGTGAGCTTGTGCATTCTTCTTGCTCAGAAATCCTTTTCTTCTGGTTTACATGAGGCTACCCCAGTGGGTCTTCAGGGGTCAGCAAACTTTTTCTGTAAAGAGCCAGATGATAAAATATTTTTGGCCTTTCATACCATGGGGTGTATGTCACAACTACTCACCTCTGCCACTGTGATGGGAAGGCAGCCATAGATAATATATAATGGGAAAGTGGGCTGGAGTTCCAATAAAACTTTATTTATAAAACCAGGCAGTAGACCAGATTTAGCCTGAGGGTGGTAGTTTACTGATTATTAATCTGGAATAAAGTGCTAGGTCAATGTAGAGAAAGAACTGCCTGAACTGATTCCTCTGTCCTATGTCTGTCTGTCTGATCCCCTGCCTACCTTCATTCCCCTCACCACCCCATGTATACCTTCTTCCAATTGCACATACAGACCAGACCGTGTTTTTAACATTATTATGACTCAGCCTTTGGCTTTACTCATCAAGTCTCCAGGGTGGAGAAACAGAGGTCCTGAATTGGCATTAAAAAAACAAAACCAAAACCAACCAACCAAACAAACAAAAACACTTGTCAAGCTCAATGACTATTATTCACAGAGGTAGTTTAAATTTTTTTATTTTATTGTTATTTTTTTGCCCCTAGGAAATCTCCAGCTTGGCTCACATTTTGATTTACAGGCTTTCTGGGCAGAGCTGGTGCTCAAGAGGTCAATATGCTGATGGGTGGAGAAGAGAAAAGGGGCAAGCAAGCAGATGCTCCTAGCTGACCACAAGCTGCAGGTTATTTGAGAGCATATAGTAATTTTCTATGGCTGCCATAACACATTATGACACACTTAGTGGGTTGAAACAATGAACATTTATTATCTTACAGTGCTGGAAGATAGCGGTCTGGCATAGGTTTTATGGAGCTAAAATCAAGATGTTGGTAAGGCTATGATTCTTTCTGGAGGCTGTAGGAGAGGATCAATTTCTTTGCCTTTTCTGGCTTCTAGAGGCTACCCATATTCCTTGGTTCATAGCCTCCACCTCCATCTTCAGAGCCAGCAATGTTGCGTCTCTCTCAATAGCCCTGTCTCTCTTTGGCTGACTATAGCTGGGAAAGTTTTCAAAGATTCAGATGATTAGATTGGGCTCACTTGAGTAATCTGGGATAATCTCCCTATCTCAGAGTCTTTAACCTTAATCCCATCTGCAAAGACTCTTTTGTCATGTAATGTAACATATTCACAGCTTCCAGGGATTAAGACAAGGAGATCTTTGGGGCACCATTATTTTGCCCACCACAGAACAGGATCCTGCCTTGTGTTTTTCTCGTAGATACTTTCTGGGTACATAGAAGTGTTGAATAAATCACTTGCACTTACTGGGATGTAAGCCCCTAGGCTAAGGGGAGCCCCTGAGCGGAAGCCCCAGTCTGCTGCATGAGTGGGGCGTGGCCTTCCTTTGGGGGAAGGGAGACTGAGTGGCCTAGGACAAACACTGAGCTCACAGGCTAAGACTTGGGCTCTTGTCCCAACTATGCTGCACATCTCACTTGCTATCTCTGGTCCCTCGTGTTATCTTCTATAGCTTGAGGAATATAGATTAGGCAGTGGTTTTCCAAAGCTTTTTAAGCACCAGGGACTTTCTTCAAGTCAAGCCTGTAGAATTTTAGGTAGGAGTGAGCTGTTATGTTTGAAGTAGGGGTGAAACCCAGAGCCTTTCCTGCAGGCCTTTCCCCAGAGCTGCCTGGCAGCTGCAGAGATACAGTTTCTTTCCTGGTCTCCTGGAACACTGTTTGGAGATCACTGGACTAGATCAGGGTTGGTTAATTGCAGCCAGCAGGCAAAATCAGGTCTGAGACCTGGTGCTGTTTGATTCCTGAACTAAGAATTTTATATATATATATATATATATATATATATATATATATATATATATGGTATATTAAGGTAAAATACATGTCACAAGAAATTTACCATCTTAACCATTTTTGAGTGTACACTTTAGTGACATTACGTATATTTACTTTGCTGTGCATCCATTGCCACCATCCATCTCCAGAACTCTTCATGTTGCCTGACTGATACTCTGCATCCACTAAATAATAACTCTTTAATTCTTCTTTTCCCAATCCCTGGAAACCACCATTCTATTTTCTGTCTCTGTGACTCTGACAGAGTTGGGACCTCCTATGTGTGTATCAAATTACACCCAGCACAATGTGTCCTAAGGAAATAGTGGAGACTGTACAGTATGGTGGCAGTATTGCTTATTTCAGATAAAAATTGGAATCAAAAGTCCAACACAAGGAGATTCTTTGAATCATTTATGGGGTGTCTATAACATGGAATGATACAAGCTATTGAAAAGGTATCATAGATAAATATTTGTCACATCAGAAGATGGATGTGATTTAAGAAAGAAAAATAGATCATAAGGCGTATGTCTATATGTGGGTTTTAAATATATAGTTTTAAATAGATTGTTTTAAATATATAGCTGTAATTAAAATATATACATATAATTTAAAAAGTATGTACATGAACATATTAACAGTGATTGGCCCTGGGTAATGGGATCACGCTTGGTTTTCATTTTCTTTTTGCTGGTTGAGTTCTTTCCTTTCTCTTGCAGACTTGGGCCTTTTCTCTGGGTGTGGGTCTGCTAATCAGAGTTCAGAATCATCTTTGTTTTTTAAACCAAACCTGTCAAGCATTTTCTTCATTTTCTACTTTTGGGTGCTTTAAAGCAGAACAAAGATGTTAAGTATCCTTTTTTAAAGACTTTTACAGCATTTTTAATTTTTAACAGTAGCCTACCCTTAATTCCACAGAAACTATTTAAAGCAACTCATTTGCTTTAAATAGGTTCTGTGGAATTTAGTTTTCATAGAAAAAACACTGTTTTTATTCTCCAATTCCATCATTTTTATGCGTCTAAGCAAATTGCATACTTATAATAGCAGGTACACTTGGTATAGACAATTTGGGCCCTTTGTGAGTAAAACTGGTAGAAGTGGGGGTGCTCAGGAATGATAAGAGCAGTGTACTAGCTATAGGCATTCAGCATGTCCTGGCATTCATCTGTAGATTTCAGAGAGGGAATGGGGAGTACTTATTGATCATAATGAGTTGGTTAAATGACAGTTAGTTGAAGGTACTTCTAACATATATGTTTTG